GGCTATATATCTGAAAATTTTATTGTGGCGTTCAAGCAATTGAATTAAATTCAGCATCACATAGAACCAATTTTGCAAATTTATACTTAATTATTATAGGGGAGCGTCGGTTTTTTTCTGCTTTTGAAATCGAAAATTTTGGCTCTTCAGTGTTTCAGGCTTATTTTGTAACTGCTGAGAAGGCGCGTCTAATGCAGCAAATCGCAGTCTGTGCGCACTCTAGTTTTTGCATAAAGCAATTTAAAAAATTATGAAATGAGCATCTTTTAACAACATGTACAGGGTGCGGCGTGGGAACTTACTCTTTTAAAAAAATCACAAAGTAAAAAGTATTAAAGATAGCGTTTTAATTCTTTCTTTTTTACAAAGAGCTACATTTAAAGTTTCGTTGGGTTTACTTACAAGTTTAATTCTTGAATATTACATCTTGTAGGTGACCTCCATGCTGTTCAATACATTTTGTCAGACGAGAGGTTGCAACGATAGACCGGCCACTAGAAAAGTACACAGAGACTGCGAACGCGCGCTCCTCTCTCGACCACTGCATGGTCGCAACTGAACTGAGTGGACAAAAAACTTCATAGCCCGCGCACCATATTGCGCATGGCGCCACCTTCCTAGGACTAATGGCCGCCACGTGGCGCGCAATTCAAATAAGTAAGTTCCCGCGCCGCACCCTGTATATACATGTATTCAAATTAAATCTGTACTGATAGATCATTATTCTCGTTAATTGCAAAGTGTTTGCACTCATTTGAAAGCTACAAACAAGACGCTTTCAAGAAAGTTAATACCATGGATGTATGGTACATGCAATAATTTTTACGTAAGGCCGTTTTGAACTTATATGAAATGGACATGTTGAGTTTTCACTGTGTGACGGCATGATAGCCTTACGGTTGTGGGATTGAATGAAAGCTAAGTCTTCTGCTAAGGTTTACTTCAACACCGAACGAGAGAGCAACCTGCTTGAGCCGAAGACCAGAAGCTAGAGAGCGATAGGAGAAGCGGGTGCTTCCTCTTACAGGGAAATAAGGCAAGAGACATAAAAGTTACGTTAGAATCCGACAACTCGCAGTACATGTTGCAGATAGGTGATACGTTTATTCTAACACCCCCTCTTAAACGTATCATTTTTTGATCAATGCATTTCAATGTTAGGAGTAATCAATACAAGCAGAGTATACAAGAAAAGAAAAATTTGTGATCCTAAATGAGAGCCCTGTTATATTATTTTATATTATTGTGCGAAACAAAGGGAAATTGCGCAAACAAAGGAAATTTTCTTAGCTGTGTTAGCATGAGTTCTCCCTAAAAAAATATGAAGTACAATTTTCGGTGACAGGTACAAGTGATTTATAGTTATGTATGAAAGAACAAATTCAGCCACTTATTACTAAAGTCATTTCTAAGTCTAGTCACAAATGGGTGCACCGTTTGCCTACGGACAGAGGTACTTAACACAAACATTACACAAATAATATAAACACAAATTCCATGACACAAACATTGCACAATAGTCTTATCATAAAATAAAGGTAAAAAAAATAATCTGCGGGTACGCCGCTAGCGCATTGTTTGTTATAACTGTCACAATAACTATTTGTCAACAGAGAAACCAATCGCTTCAATGAAACTGTTTGCTTTGTTCCTAGGCAAACACTTGGTGTAAACATCAGCTACATTTTTATCAGTAGGCACATATTGGACATCGACTGACTTGTTTTTAATTTCAGATCTAATGAAATGGTATTTAATATCTATATGTTTGTTCCTCTGACGGTTCACCAGATTCTTGGCTATGAAAATGGCTCCCTGGTTGTCTGCAAATATTACAGTTGGATCAGGCGATTTTATGAACATGTCATTCAACAACATACGCAAGGACCTCTTGCACAGCGGATGTCATTGCTACGTATTCTGCTTCACATGAGCTTAAGGCTACCAGCGGTTGTTTCTTCGTGTTCCATGAGATAAGAGAACCATTTTTAGCTAATTTGAAACAATACCCTGTGATGCTTTTGCGATCAGGGTTGCTACCCCACAGGGTTGGCAATGATTAAATCATGTGATTAAATCACTTGATTTTTTTATAAAAAAATCATGATTTTTTTTATTTTTTCGATTTTTTTGATTTTTTTGATTTTTTCATATATTTAAACATGTTGAGTGGCAGTCTTTAATTTATATTGAGGTATTGTTATTCATGGTTTAGGTAGTATAAATGTACTATGAATGACAAATTGGTATATAAACTTGTTGCCTTTAGTGTGTATTAGGTTCCAATAAATTGAATGTTTTTGGTACAGAGGCATCAAGTGTGCAATACATGGTACGTAGCTAGCAGCTTAGCTAATTCTTATAAGGCTATAAGTAGTCTAACTATTTGACTATTAGCTATATATTGATTACAATACATATACAATTTAAATGTGTTAGCTAGTTTATACAGGGTGGGGCAGAACTGATTGAACAGTGTTGAGGCAAAATAAAAGAGTAATGGAGATACATAAAGACGAAAGTTTATTTTCCTCAAGATTAGCATAACATACCATTTAAAATACTTATGTTTTGAAAACAATATCAGGAAGATGGGGTTTGTTAGCTGCATCACACTGTTGGAGTTGTTCTCGGAAGTTTTCTACAGCACGTTCACACATATGGCGAGGTATGGCCATAACCTCGGCTGTAATAATCTGTTCCCTTAGCTGTGGTAGGATGTGAGGGCAACTTCTGAACCTCTTTCTTTTAGATGTCCCCAAAGAAAGAAATCGCAAATGCTCAAATCAGGTGACCTTGCAGGCCACTGTAAATCACCCCTCAGAGTCTGGGAACATGCATTTCAAAACATTGAGCGACATTCGGGCTGTGTGAGCTGTAGCCCCATCCTGCTGGAACCACACCTCTCCCAATGCTTCATTTTCAACAATGTTTTCCATCATGGGCTGCAAGAAATTTTGCAACATTGCAGCATAGCGATCGGAATTCACTGTTACGGCTACTCCCTCCTCTGAGAACGACTCCAACAGCGTGTTGCTGCTAACGGCCCCCATCTTCCAGATACTGTTTTCAAAACATAAGTATTCTAAATGATATGTTATGCTAACCTCTAGGAAAATAAACTTTCTTCTTTATGTACCTCCATTACTCTTTTATTTTACCTCAAAACTGCTCAATCGGTTCTCTCCCACTCAGTATATTGAGAGGTTGAGATTGTATTGACCTTTTAGGCAATTAGAAAGATTTTCCACCCTGATATGAGTATTCTAATTCAAATATTTAATTTCAATCTCTAAATATGTGAATTTAAAACTAGAAACTAGACAATTACAATTATAAGACTATATATAAAATGATTAAATGCAGTGAATGGATATAAAATATTTGAATTGTGCACATGTTTATTTCAAACAGTATTAGATTTTCTCATACCTTAAGTCTCGTTTCAAGTCGGATGAGGTTTGTTTGGTTATCGTTCAGTTTATGTTTAGTATTGGTTTATTGGTCTGAATTAAATGGGAACAGTGCAGTCAGTCACTACTAGTAGGTGTGTATAGAGGGTAGAGTCTGGTAGATTTATAGGACATAAAACTAGTATAGATCTATTGATAGTGCTGACTGTGCTGTGCACTGTGCTATCAGCTACCTATCTGTTATGTGACTCTTCAATGTCTAAAAGATCTGCATTCCTAAAGTGTTTTTGTATATTGAAGCCAGTTAAATGGTCAATATTTAGCTCATTACCTTGCTCCATACAAACTTTGCAAAGCTAATGAATAGACTTGCCAATAATTGTTTGCCCAAAGATCCCTAAGTGGTAAACACTACCTTGGCCTGTTGGCCATTATTGAAGGCAATAAGTGCCCTTTTTAGCCATCCATTATGATCCATATACTGTTATTGTTAGTAGGCTAATTGCAACATAAAAAATAACACTTCAGAAAGACAAAAAAGTTGAAAAAATCAAAAAAATCAAATAAATCAAAAAAACCATGAAAAAATCAAAAAAATCATTGATTTTTGATTTTTTTTATTTTTTTAAAAAAATAAAAAAAATCGCCAACCCTGCTACCCCAATCCGAGTCACAAAATCCAAATAATTCAACTGTGTCAGATTTTTTAAACGTCAGACAATAGTCAATGGTTCCTTTCAGGTATCTCAGGACATCCTTGGCAGCATTCATGTGTGCAGCACTTGGCCACTGCATAGCCTGAGACAGCTTGGACACAATGTAGCAAATATCTGGTCAGGTACATGACATTATATAGATGAGAGACCCTATCATTTCCTGATACAGTTTTACATCAGCAGGCTTTGAACAAATTGCATCTGAAACAACATGATCAACCTCGATGTCGGAAATATTTGATTTTAGGTTGCAATCACTCATACCAAAACGTTCTAGAATTTTTTAAATATTTTTGGATTGGTTCATTGTAATTTTATTATCTGAAATTTCAAAATTTATACCTATGAACCAGGCTAGTTTTCCCAAATCTTTCATTTTGAAAGCTTTGGACAGGCTGGCTTTGATAGCCTTAATTATGTCAGCACTGTCAGATACAATTAGGAGGTCGTCAACCCACACAACGATTATCGCAGTAGATTGCTCAGCTTGTCTAGAGTACACACAGCCATCAGCGTTAGATTGATCAAAACCCTCTGAAGTGAGAAAGGAGTGCAGCATTTCATTCCAATTTCGTCCACTCTGTTTTAGGCCATAAAGGGATTTCTTAAGTTTCCAATATAGTTTGTCCCCACTATCATTGCTCACAGAGTAGCCCTCAGGCTGCTCTAGATAGACTTCAGTATCAATTTGTGCATTTAAGTAGGCTGACTTGACATCCATTTGGCTCACAATATAATCATTTTGGGCTGCTAACTGTAATACTACTCTGATTGATGTGATTTTTGCAGTGGGAGAGAAGGCTTCTTGATAGTCTATGCCCAATGTATTAAATATTTTACATTACTAAACCCCCAACATGTCTCTCAACAGGGAACATGGGAAATCTTTCGAGTAGCGACAACGACGGGATTTCAACGGGATTTCAAGGCCTTTCCTTTATGGCACGGGCATGCAGGGCTTCATTCAAGGGGAAGGATCACCAGAGGAAGAGGCATATACGAAGGCGGCACCAGCCGAAGACAGCTCAAGTGAGCACTGCATCAAAGTCGACCCAAACCGCGGAGCTTGCATCAAAGTCGACCCAAACCACGGACAGCTCCAGCGATGAGTAAGTAGATGTAGGTATTGTGATCGTCAACAGATATTTAGAAAAATATGTGAATTTTAGATTATCAAGTTCTATTTTAACAATTATGAGAACAACCATTGGTTTCTAATATTCATATGTATATATTTGCACATTTTCGCGATGTATTGACAGTGCAGTGTTGTATTGACAAATAGAATAAAGTCAGTTTTTCTCTTAAATCTGATTACTCCGATTAAATCTGCGTAGGAAAATTTGAGGAAAAAATGCAGTGCTCTACTTTTCGGATACTTTGATGTTTATGGAATTCCATGTACATAGAATTCTGGAAGAAATATCAGTAAATGTTTAAGGAAAAGGCTTGTAGTTGATTATGAATCATTCATGAAACTCACCAGCAGGAACGGCTCGGAAATTCATGATATTAGGTATTTAAGCCCTAATTCAAGCTAGTTTTTCATTTATCATATGATACCTTTTCTAGAGTGTCACCGAGGCTCGAGCGATCGCCACCAAGTGGCCCAGCATAGACAAGAAGTCCGTCGCTTTTCCTCGTACGGAATAAGAAGAATGACCAGGGCACGGTGCTGCAAATCCACTCATTTGGATTTCGGTTTTTCCGTTTGGGCTTTTTACGTTTTCTCTTTCTTTTCTTCTCATTTTCAACTTCTCGGTATCGTTGTTTTTGATTTGTATCGTTAAGATTGTTAATGTGTCGACAAGCGGAAAGATGTTATATTTGTTCTGTCTTCATTTTGTTATACCTAGACACTGCGCTTTTTTAGCACTTCTTGGTGACTACATCGGGTCGGTACATAAGGAACAAATGGGTCTGGTTTTTTTTTTTTTGGAGTTCCATCGCGTTTTGTGTTTCGAATTCTCTCGACACTTAGTACTGTTGCTTGCTTTGGATAAGCTGCGATATGCAGCTAATCCAAAGCTGCGAGGCTTGAATATTTGAAAAAAATGCCTTCAAATCCGGTTTATATTGTCATTTTACTAAATTATCTTTAAAACTTTCTCAATATAATGGTTTCAATGGTTTCAATGTCAATATAAGGGTTTCAAAAACTTTTTCAATATAATGGTTTTCAATGGTTCTTATAATGATTAATTAGACACATTATTCCAGATTTTGGCTTACGTAAAGTAAAAATATTCTGACGTGAATGTGTTTCTTTTTAAGCAGATATTCGGTAGCAGCTGTTTGAAAGCTCTCGTGTCAGAATAAATCATGAATAATTTATAACAATTTGAGGAGAATATTATCTGCTGAGTTATTACTTACATTTAAGCAATACCTATTATACTATATATTATATATAATGGAAGTCAGTCTATAAATGGAAGTCAGTTTCTCTTATTCAGGTTGTGACCGCATTCAAAGGAACCGTTTTGCCCAGTCTCATTCTTTCAGTAAGAATTATGTGCCTTCATTCTCATTCGAATTAGAAAACTTGACCTTTGATAAAATGACCCTCGGCACTCTTTCAAATTAGCGGAATGTCGTACTAAATGAAGAGCCAGACTTACATTTTTCTTAATTTCAAGGGACATTCCTCAATTCATTTGATTGTAAGCTACTGTTATCACAGGGATAAGTGAATTTCCTTATGCTTCCTTGGAACGCATAAAATATTCGAGTTTCCACGTTAAATTCGAACCTGTTAGCCAACATAAAAATGTAAAAATACACCCGTAAATATTTGCACATAAGTCTACTCTTTGGCATTCGATAAACAACCCTCGTTAGGCAAGCAACCAGCAGTTCTAAGCTTTGGAAAAAATGGTCAGTTCCCTTCCTCAACTGCAACGCTCATATTTAAGCATAAAAAATGAATGCAGTCCCATTACTCCCTAAGAATTAATGATCCCTGTTGAAAAAATTCTAATTTTTAAAATTCTTACCGTGGAGTCACGAGGGCCGTCTGATTAGCATCTACGACCAAAGAGGGATCAAGACGACCATTTTTACTTGAGTTTTGAGCGCCCAAGTTGTCGTGCTGGGGCCGTATTATCAAAACTTCGTAAGTACGCACAATCGACTTACGAGTGGCGTTGCTATGACAACGTAATAATAGCGGTGGTATTATAAAAATATTTGCGCGGGAAAAAAATTTAGGCTTTTAGCTAAGACTTGCGTACGAAAGTTTTGATAATGCCAAAATTAGGGTGTATTTACGTACCACAAAATTTTTTTGTCGTAAGTACAAAAAGTTACGAAGTTTTGATAATCCGGCCCCAGGTTGACGAGTTTGCTATTCTCGTCGACCTCCATATTGTCATAATAGGATGGATGACCGGAGACGGCGATGCTGCTGATTGAAATTCACCGCAAATGCCGACACCTACTGATAATATTCGCGCGCCGCTCAGCTTGCTGATCTGCATGGTGAATGAAGGAAAAGATTTATTGGAAGCAACGAGAACATTTTATTTTAATAACGTATTGTACATACCCAAAACGGATTACGCGTATTGTTTGTGTTAAGAATTTTTTTACGAGGAAAGAATAATAAAAGTTGAAGTTTCATGAGAGTTCAATACAAGAATACTAAAAATAACCGCTATATACATCAATTTAGTTAACAATAAACATTTTCCCAATGAAATGATAAAGCCACAAAAGTTCCATAAAAGTCTCGCATGGTCTTTCTTTGTTTGAAATACATGTACAAAAACGATGGACATGCTGGCTTTTATTTCTTGTTTTCGAGTTTTAAAACCTAGAAGGAAAGCTTCACAACGACCGTTTGGAAAGCAAGAAAATGGTCTTTAAGATACAGTACAGTTATAGTAAAAGGTCTCTTCAAAATGTTAAGGCAAAGTTCCCGAACACAATAACCAAATAGTTAAACAATTTACTCTCACTTCAGACGCAAATCTCAGCAGCAGCAGATCAAGATCCTCTTCAGCAGAGCCGCTCAACCAGACAATGCTCTTGTGAGGTTTGTTTCTTATCAAACTGGGAAATTCAGTGAAATCCTGCGAACTCGCAAAGAAAGAATCGGTCGGGGAGAATGGCGGCGGCAAATTCTTGCCCACCGACCGGGTTGTCTTTCTTGTCCGAAATTAAAACGATTTGCTGCGACTGACACCGTTGAAATATTTTGATGGCGTCTCGTAGGTTGAGTCAGCATTTACTTTGAACAAATTTTGCTCATTGAATTCAGGAGTTGGCAAGAAAAATGAGGCAAGTGGAAAAGGAGCTAAATTAAATGAAAATTCCGACAATGTCTGATCGTGCAAGGCGATGATCTTGATCGAAACTCCGATGGCTTCTTAGATGCTAAGAGTCATTCGCTCCAGTAAATTCCCTCCATTTGGCTGCATAAATAATATTCATAAATCAAGAATGGCAATACGCTGTCTTCATTTCTGCTTAAGGGTAAAAAACAATTAGTACACAATCAAGCCAGGATTTAAGATTAAATGCTGATCAGATAATAAAAAAAAATCATTATTCCTATCCATCGTTGTTAATTATACAAATTTGTTATTAGTTTAATTAATTAGAGAATACCAGATATAAAAATCACATGAGATGAAGCGTGAAACATAATTCACTTACATTGTGTGGCCATTCATCCATATTATTTTGCAATGGATAGTAAAACTTTCTGCCAATATTAACTATTGATAATGCTCATGCTGTGCAGAATATTTTTATATTCAATAATATAAAACAGTAATTTACAACGAAAATATTTTATATTATTCTAAAGAACTTTCTATTTTATAAACTACTTTACAATATAAAACAACAATTTTAAAATGAGAACATTTTATTTTATCCTGGAAAACACTATTTATTTTTATATTCCGTTATACGAAACAAAAGTTTCATATCGAGATCGTACTATTTTATTTAATATTTAACATAACCTAAAAATTTCTTAAGAAAATATTCTATTTTATTACGAGTGTTTGCAGGAGCTGTGGTGCTGAGTGCAAGGAGACCAAGACAGGCACGGCAGCAGCAGCGAGCTCGTCATCAGGCAGGGACTCGACCATCACCGTGACGTTAGCGCTCACTTCATCCTGCTGGTGCCGCGTCTCCGACACCATGAAGTGCAATTCGTACCTGACAGAGACTCTACCATCACCGTGACGTTGGCGCTCACTTCATCCTGCTGGTGCCGCGTCTCCGACACCATGAAGTGCAATTCGTACCTGACACGCGCAGCATTGGCAACGATCCATTATTACCAGCCACTTCAGCCCAGAGTTTTTATGGTCGATGAATCAACAGTGAAATAAACGACGAACGCAGGAAATATGGTCCAGATGAAATAGACGTGTTACTCACTTGTCAGTAACACGTCTATGTCAGTAAATGGCTGGGATTAGTTCAAGAATTTTTTTTTTCTAAAGGTAGGGTAAAAATTGAAAGATTAATGCTAAAAATCTCAGGTTGACAGCCAATTGAATTACTTGTTCAAACTGATGCTACTAAAGGGAAATATTAAAGTGAAATATTAGAATGCCCTTTAAATATCTGATCACACTATAACTTGATTAAAAGTGTTCTATACAACATCGACCAATATCTGGAATATAAAATTACACTAAACTCATGTTCAAGTACGTAACTATAGAGCCCATACACACACAAAACCGAATGTTTATATTGTCGTGTCGCGTCCAGTACTCGTACGACATGCACTTTTAGTTTGTAGCCTTACGGCGCGGCGCTGAGCTGTATTCGGAGTCGCAGCCTCCTGCCATTCATTACAGTTTTGATGTTACTAGGAGTTAAGCTTCCGCTGAATTAATCCTTAGGTCAATTTGCTATAATTGTCATATTGTCTTGTTCATGTTATAGTAGTTAGTTTATAGTTCTCTAGTGTGAAGTAGAATCGTTTCCTTTCCTTTGGCAGAGTAAAGTAGCTTGAATTCCCGTTAACAATTTAGAATTTGAAGACTAGCGCACATACAATCCACGTAAGTTCCTAGTTATTCGTATCAGTTGCCACGTTCATATTTATTTTAGCCAGGAGTTGTGAGATACAGAGATATTGGTTTTATACCCATGTATATTTGTACTTGGTCTAAATCTTCAGTTTGTATTTTCATTTGTTCTGATGTGCGGAATTTTCTTGCGCAGTTTTACAAGAAGTATAACGAAATAATCCAGAATGACTACTATTTTCCTTGTCATTGTTTCTGCCTGGCTCGATGAAGTGGCCGTTTGAAATTTAGCCAGGACATGTCCAAATAGCGGCACACATTTTTCGCGTAGTACTGAAATGCCCTTTTGTCTGGCCAAACTTGGCCCGAGGATCCACACACAGACAAAATGTGCATCGTTATTTGTATAAAGTGTCTTATTTGTTTGAGTGTACCTGCCGTCGTGGGCAGCGGCGTGCATGGCGAGCTGTCCCGTGCGCGGGTCCAGGACGAACAGCGGGTGGGACGTTGGCCCGGCCCACCGCCAGAGTTTGTCCTCGATGTCCCAGTCGTCGGGGTCGTCCACGTAGACCCGACCCAGCGGAGTGAGCTGATGCTCAGTCTAGGATAAAATTTGCAAACTTTTATATGAATGACCACAAATGTTTTCCTTAAAATACTCGAATGCAAATATGTTTTCATAGATTATACGTGTTTGTAGAATGATCAAGTAATCAGCATGCCTCCTGGGCATGACATAAATTTATAAATTGTATAACTTTATATATTTATTTAAAGTTATACAACCAGATTATGGTATATGGACAATTAAGAGAATCAAGTTCAGCCTAATATCTAATTTTATTCCTTCTCTCCGTCGAGCCCCAGGCATGAACACTTCGAAATCCACGTGCTTGTACAGAATAAAGCTCCTTCTCTCGTACCTTAAGACAAGTTACGTGTACAGAATAAAGCTCCTTCTCTCGTACCTTAAGACGAATTACGTGCACAGAATAAAGCTCCTTCTCTCGTACCTTAAGACGAGTTACGTGTACAGAATAAAGCTCCTTCTCTCGTACCTTAAGACGAGATACGTGTACAGAATAAAGCTCCTTCTCTCGTACCTTAAGACGAGTTACGTGCACAGTTTTGTGGCCAGGTCGCGCTGCATTATCATTGCGGTCACCGAGATGGACAGTGACCGTGACGGTCTGAGACAAGCCTCCTGCGTCCGCCACGATGATCGGGACGAGGCGGAGCGGTCCGTGTGATTCTCGGTC